GGATTCCCACTCTGATCACCTTTTCCTTCGTCTTCCTTCTAGTGATGCGTGGCTCAGGAGTGCCCCCATGGCCCCCACTGTCCTCAGACTCCACTGATTTTCACAACGCTACTTTTGAAATCCTTCAAGCGATCACAAAAACCTCCACAATGATGCTCGGGGAAGTGGATGCTAATGCTATTCTGGAGACGAAGAAATGGATCCCAAGTATTCTGGTTTTAGTATTCGAAATCATTACAGTAATCCTTCTGATGAATCTGATGGTGTCCCTGGCCGTTGGGGACGTGGATGATTTGAAGAAAGAGGCGGAGGATACGATTCTGAAGATCAAACTGAATTATGTGATTGAGGCTCTTCAGTTGCGAGAAGAGTTCAACAAAGTGTACCATTTAGAGCCCGCCACATCAAAAAATGGTCTTGTGATTCATGACAATGGAAAGTACTTGTTGAGAGAGGTCGATTTTGAGAAGACCAACTTTGTGGACATGCATGAAGATGTGAGTTAGAGCTACCACTTTTCAGAACTCAAGAACATTGACTTTGAGCCGACTTACAGTGATTGTTGTAGAATTGCTCAGAATAAGAATACATAACCGTAATTTTTTTCTTCCAGGTCGAAGATAATTGGTGGATGATATATTCCAAATGGCTTATTGGACTCGACATGGCCGTGTACTTGCAGAACGCGCCTCCGGTGCTCCAGCAGCCTTAGTTTCCAGAAATTATCTTTTTTGTAGCAGTTTTGACATCAACATAATTACCTCAGTACCTCGATTGCTATACCTCGACCTTGATTGTTTTTTTATGATGAAATTATGATTTTTTTTAGATAAAATTGTTTGTTCTTTATCTATGTGGCTAAATGCACTTTTCGATTTCCGACAAATAGGTCCAGGTACCGAGTTGAAACCTTCATTTTGAGCCGAGTTATAGTCGATAAACTGGGTAATTTTTATTCTGAGCAGTTTCACGAAATTGAGAACATCTCAGTTCAAAGTCTACTTTCGGGAGAATCAAACTTGAGTTTAGGGTCCGAAACTACCTTACGGCATGGATTTCAGATGTGCCAAACTGAATCCCCGCCAACGAAGATGTGAGATCTATCATTTTTCGTGCGTGAGAACATCATAACCACAGTCTTGAGAAAATTCGACAATTTGGCTAACAAGCGCAACTAGACTTGGCTCACTATCACTACACAAATGTTTAATGTCAAACCTTACTCACTTCCTTATCAGTGCTTCTCCTTACAATAAGAAACGTTTCATTGTTACGAAACAATTGATATTTTGAAATATGCATAACGATTTTGCTAAAATTCATTGCTAATTCTTAAATTACAGTTGCTAGACTATTCGCTGTGATGTAAAATTTCATCAACTTCAGTTTCAGATTTTTGGAATTTTACTCAGGAAAATTGTTTATTCCTCATAAAATAAGTTCTTATCAATAAGTACTTAAGGTAACATTAACGTCGCCTTATTACCCCTATAAAAGTGACCACCCTAAAACTCTCTGTCCTTCTTTATCAGTAACACTAGCACCTTAGCTATAAAAGTGTTACAACAGCATTAAAAACGACCACACTGATTCCTCGTCTTCCAATGCGCCAGCCTGCCGATTTTTTCAGTATCGGAAAATGCGCAAACTTACAGCCTGGCGCGAAACGAGATGGAAAACATTTTGAACTAAAAATCTAGAATTTGTCGGAAAATTCTCGTTTTTTTTTTTACTTTCATCCATTTTTAGTAGTTACGTCTCAAATTAGTGTGACATTGTGTGAAAAAAACACATATTTAACCATGTTTAAATAACCGGCGCCCTGCGTCGGGAAACGCGCCTGCGCGAGTCGCGTCAACCTCAGTCTGTGCGCATTGGAAGACGAGGAATCAGTGGACCACCCTATTTTTCTAGAATTTTTTGAATATTTTTATCAGTTTAGTCATGCTGAATTTCTATAATTGCAATTTTTTGCAACTTTATTGAAGAAGATGTTTCCAGATGACGTCCAGAAGCTTCAAAGTTGATATTCCAGCTAATAGAAAACCAGAAAATCAGCCCCTTTTGACCCCGGAGCCTACCGAAGAGGACAAACGTGTTGCTCAAAACAAAAGCCCGATCTTTATGAATGTCTGTGAAGCGCAGACAAAATTCCTCAGGGACAATGTGAAGAAATGCTCGAAATACAAGTTCGAGTATGGAAAGTGAGTTGTAGTTTGTAGTCTTTGTAGTCAGCTAAACTTTCATTATTTAGTACCGCCTTCGGAAGCGGCTCAATCGACTTGAAACGAACCAAAAAGTCAAAAAAGGAGAATCCAAGCAAATACAAGAAAATCCTGTCGTGGCAGGAGCTGAACAATTTGAGGGTCGACCAAGAGTGGGACACTATTCGTCATCCCTTTGTCCTGCATTTTATCAACCAGAAGCTTCTGGACTGTGCCGGGTTTTATACAGCGCATATTATAGGTGAGAATGGACTACGATAAAGTGAGAGAGTGCAGAGAAGCTTGACACTCTAGCTTCTCTGCGCTCTCCATGGACTTTCGTCTGTGTCTCCAAAGCTACAGCCCTTTTTATTTCAGTCGCCACGCTCCTATTCATCCTTCTCTCCTGCCACATCATATTTCCGCATTGGATTACAGGCGCTTCAATTTTAATTCTGACTTTTGTCACTTTCCTTGTACTGGTAGGTCTCAAGATGCAGCTCTATTGAAGGTAAACGAAAAAAATTAATTCAGGTCCTCAAATGCACAGCAAAGGGTCGACATCATCTTGTGACTCCGTGGTTCGCTTTAGGATCGGCATTCAATATTTTGACATATGCGGCGACAGTTGCGTATGTTATCGCCACTTGGGTGGCTACGTTTGATGATGGTAATCCTGAGTTGAAGGTAATTTTTAAGAGAGCGCAGACAGCTAGATAGTCTTGTTTCTCTGCGTCTCTCTCTCTCTCTCTCTCTCTCTCTCTCTCTCTCTCTCTCTCTCTCTCTCTAGCTCTATTCGTTTCAGAAACTCGTTATTTGGTTCCTTCCAATCTTCGCAATCATCTCCACTTGGCTCAACCTCCTCTACGCCCTCAGAAAGTCACCATTTGGTATCTACGTGCTGATGTTGACCAGGATTTTGAGAAGCTTCGCTCATTTGAGTTTTTTTTTAATTATTTAAATACGAAAATTATTACAGTATGTTTGAAAGCATGAAAAATGCGAAATTTCGTGGAATTGCTCAGAATAAAATTTTCCAGTATTTCGTCTACAACTCGGTTCAAAATGCAGGTTTTGAACTGGTTTTTTTTCAGATCGCCGTCATCTGGATCCCCACTTTGATCACCTTCTCATTTGTCTTCCTTCTAGTGATGCGTGGCTCCGGGGTGGCCCCATGGCCTCCACTATCCTCAAACTCCACGGATTTCCACAATGCGACGTTTGAAGTCCTTCAAGCCATCGCAAAGACCTCCACAATGATGCTAGGGGAAGTGGATGCTAATGATATTCTGGAGACACAGAAATGGATCCCAAGTATTCTGGTTCTAGTGTTTGAAGTCATTACAGTAATCCTTTTGATGAATCTGATGGTGTCCTTGGCCGTTGGGGACGTGAATGATTTGAAGAAAGAGGCGGAGGATACGATCTTGAAGATCAAGCTGAATTATGTGATCGAGGCTCTTCAGTTGAGAGAAGAAATCTGCTTTTTAAAGCCCGTCACATCGAAAAATGGTCTTGTGATCCATGATAATGGAGAGTACGTGTTCAGGGAGGTCGTTTTTGGGAAGATCCAATCTGAGGAGCCCATTTCTGAGGAGCCCGATTCAGAAGAGCCCAATTCAGAAGAGCCCAATCCTGAGGAGCCCAATTCTAAGAAGACCAATATTGAGGAAACCAGTTTTGAAGACATGCATGAGGAGGTGAGCTGGAACTTCCACTTTTCAGAACTAAAAAATGTTGATTTTGAGCCAAGTTACGCTGAGTTCTGTTATATTGCTCAGAATAAAATTTTCGCAAATTTTTTTTTCTTCCAGGTCAAAGACAATTGGTGGATGATTTACTCCAAGTGGTTGATTGGACTCGACATGGCCGCGTACTTGAAGAACGCTCCTCTGGCGCTTCAGCAAGTTTAAACCAAGCCTGAAATGATATCTTTTTTTTTTTTAATATTTTTGCAAACCGCTATACCTCAACACATATATGTATACCTCACTCTTGATATTTCTGTTGAATTTTTTTTTAATTTTTTTTAAAATGAACTTTTGGATTCTCTTCAGTTCTATACAAATAAAATGCCGAAGTCATCATTTTAGGCCGAGTTATAGCCGAAATAGCGGAAAATTTTATTCTGAGCAATTTCACAAAAATAGGCATAACTCGGCTCAAAATCGGTTCTTTTGGGTTCTGAAAAGTGGAAAATTATCAATAAATCATCAGGGATAGAATTCAATTAGTGGGCGTGATCGCCTAGAAACCCAAAATTACTGGACTTTTTCATTTTGGGAAATCCCACGAAAATGGAACACAACGCCGAGAAGCTAGACGATCTGGCTTCTCTGCGCTCTCTTTTTCTCTTTTTTCCATATAAAAATGACCACTCAATTTCCAATTTCCATGCTTCCCATGAATTTCTAAACAAATAGGAAGTACCACCCTTCTTCGTCCCCAGGAATATCCGTTTCGTATTCTTCTGTCCCTCTCCTCATTTTTATTTTATTTCACTCACACACTCACAAAACACATGTCCCTTTAAAATTGAAGGGAATGGAAAGACAGATGTTTTAGCGGAAAGATTTCGCGCATTTCACTCGAAAACCACCAACATCTGCTTTTTATGTTCAACCAGTTACTCATTCACCACTCGCGTTTTTCATTTCGAAATCGGAAATTTGGAGATTTGGTCTCTACCCCTTTTGACTCCACCCCCTGAGACCGAATTTCGACGTGACGGTGTTTACGGACCCGGGATGACATTCTACGGCAAATTTTAGTTTAACCAAAAAAAGTAAAAAGACTTGACCCCAGAGGGGATTGAACCCGCGATGGAAAATTTGTAGTCGGTAGTACTAACCACTAGGCCATGCGAGCAGGACTGCATAGGTGGATGTGGCGGCGGCCTTTCTTACTCTGGCGCCCCGGCGCCATCGTCTCAACGCATCACCTTGCGGCCTAGCGGTTAGCACGGCTGTCTACCAATTTTGCATCACGGGTTCAATCCCCATCGGGGTCAAATCTTTTTTTCTTTTTTTGTATAACTATCAGTAGCTATTGAAGGCTATATTATAGGTTTCTAAGGTTGTTTTCAAAGTTTTCATACCCGGGTTCGACCCCCATAGAGGTCAATTCTTTTTTTCATTTTTGTTAGGACCAGCTTTTCGGGATGAGGGTCCTCGTTTGGTTTTCTAGGCCTATTTTGAGGGGTTTTCTAGATTTTTTTGTTGTCTAGAACAAGAATTTTCTGAGCGATTTTCCGGGTTTTCTGGACTAGATTTTAGACTTCTAGGACATATCTGGAATACCAAGTCAGTTTCTGGATTTCTAGGCCGTTTTTCAGGGTTTCTAGGCCATCTTGAACTCCAAAAACACCCTTTTCCGTCGTAATTCTATCCTTTCCCTTCCCCAAAACTTCCCATCCTTTTCCTTTTCCCCATTTTCCGCCAAATTAGATGCAATTACTCTCCAGTAATAGCTCTGGTGCCCTCCGGCTCCGTCCCTAGCCCCGCCCTCTTCACCCTCATGACACCTCACTTGTAATTCTTTTAGTCCCCCTGATGAAGCCTCTCATGCATTCAGAATAAGAGGCTTCTTTTGAGCTCTAGAAGAGCTCATCCTACTCTGCTTCTCTGCGCTCTCTTTCTTTGTGAATCTTCTATTTTTTTAATTATTCCAAAGTGTCTTGGGGCGTTCCCTCTTTGACACACCTCTTCTTCGCCCCACACTTTTTATGTGATTTATGGGCGGACAAACAGAGAATACCGCAACAAATATAATACCTCTTTTGGCGGCGAAGAGGTAAAAACGTTTTCGATTTCGTTCCTTTTTGATGAGAAGCCGCTTTTTTATCGACGGTTTTTGTGTGATTTTTGACGAATTTTCGGAGTGCTTTTGCGGTTTTTTCAAGATTTTTGGAAGAATTTTTCTATGGTTTAGGTGAGGTTTTGGGGATTCTTAACGGATTCCCGGATGGTTTCCCATGGTTTTTTACTGGATTTATCCCCAATTTTAGAATGTTTTTTAGGCTTTTTGACAGGATTTTCTCGAAGTTTTCTGAGAAATTTTACATAGTTTTTTGTGGAAAAATCGGGTTTTTCTACCTAAATTTCCAGAATTTTTCAGTGGTTTCGGCTGAAAATAATGATGGTGTGAAGTTTGACTTCCAAAAATTTTTTTTCAGTCAAAATCATGTCGCATTCCTAACCCGTCGTTTTAAGATTATGGAGACATTAATTTCGAAAATTTTGGGGTCCGAAAAGAATAAAGTTGTAGATCAAAAAATTCTCTATCGACTGGTATAAATATCATGTCGGATTGTTTCAGAAAAACTAGGTGAAAATGTCAAAAACCCTACATGATCGATAGATAATTTTTTGATCTACAACTGTATTTCTTGAAATCTCTACTTTTTTAAATCTAGGCTCGAACTAATAGTCAAAATCTAAAAGTATCATACTTGTGAATTTTCGGCCCGGCCCTGAAGGCCTGGATTCAAAAAATTCTGAATTTTTTGACTCAAAATTCATCAGAGCAGAGTGCAATACACAAAATTTGAGCATATTTTTTTTTGATTTTTTTTAAAATTCGCGGTAATTTTCCGGGCCCAGCCCCTCACAAGTATGAAAAATATAATGATTTAGTGAGTCAGCCCTAACCTTACTATTAGAAAAAAGATATTGTAAATAAACAAAGTGCAATATACAATATATTTATTTGTACTCGTTTGCCCCTATTCTACCAAATTGATCTGCAAACACAGTCATGCATGTCCTTCCCCTCCCCTAACCAATATACCCAATTCACAGCCTTTTTATTATATATTGACAGCATCATTATAAGGTCAGCATAGCCTCGACACGGGTCTCACCACGGAAACATTTATTTCTATAGTAATTTTTTTTCTGGTTTTCTAATTTAACACATTTTAGAAAATCTTGAGGATTGCAAAAGTGCTATAATGAGAGAACACCCATCTTCATAATGAACATAATGAAGTAATTTTCCTGGGCACATGATCAAGCTCCGCCTATCTTTTCGATAGAGCGAATATAGACAGACAAAAGGATTCAATAAATTGATATAGTAGTAACTGGCTAACCCCATAATTGTGAGGCTAGCCACCGCATCAAAATCGTAGTGTTATTATTATTATATGGTCAGCGTCCAAAATGCAATTCGAGCCTCCTCCTCCTCCCTATTTTAAAACAGCATAAAACTAGTCGACATCATCAACTGGTCAGTCCTTCTCTCTTCTGCCTCCACCCCACTATCTTCCTCTCCTATTCCTCCCGTTTTAATCTATTTGAGCCGTGTCCTCCTATTTTACGTTGGTCGTTTTCCTCCCCAAAAATTGTTTCCTCTATTCTTTTTCTCTCCTGAATTCTTCTCCAAAAACAATGTTTACGCAACTGCTTTCATCGTTTTACACAACTTTATTGTTGCCAATTTGTGAGAATTTTGGCTTCACTTTGGGAAATTTTGGGAAATTTTTATAAGTTTCAACTTCTGAATCATAATGAAATACTCATTTTCGAAAAATCTAGAAATCTGAAAATTTGAGCTTGTAGATCAAAAAATTCTCTACCTAATGGCATTAATTTCATATGGTGTTATTGCAGAAAGCGCAAAAAAAAATTTCCGCAATTTTTGAGCACTTCTTTAGAAACAACACTAGATGATATTTGTAGCAATCGATAGGGAATTTTTTGTTCAACATTTTCAATTTTTGACAATGAGAGCTGCAGAATTTTGAAAAATGAATTCTCTAACAAGGGAGGTCATTTCAAAGTTTGTTTGAGAATTTTCTGAAAATTTGTGGGTCAACACTATCGAACACGCTGAAAATGAATCTGAAATCCGTTTTCGCAAAACTCGTCTTGTTTTGACACAGTGGGTCCCGAGGACCATTCTCAGTACTAATTTAACGAGAGAAAAAGAACTGAAACAGGGAAAATAATTTTACGTGAAAATAATACTGAGATTCTCTCGTTAAATTAGTACTGAAAATGGTCCCCAGGACCCATTGGGGCAAAACTAGAAGAGTTTTGCGAAAACGGATTTCAGATCCGTTTTCGGCGTGTTCGATAGTGTTGACCCACAAATTTTCATAAAATTCTCAAACGAACTGTAAAAGGACCTCCCTTGTAAGCTAAAAAAAAACTTGCTTATTCCAAAATCGGAAGAAAGTTTTAATAGAAATTTACACCTTCGTTTTCGTCAAAGAATTTGAGCTTGAAATCTAGATTTTCGAAGAAAAGCTTGTTTTCGATAACGTCCCGCAATACCCAATTTCCGGAATACCTAGAAAGCTAAAACTATAGATTTTTCAATTTCCGCTTACTTCCTGTCATACCTAATTCTTATAATTAGCACTGGATCATGCGTGCAGATTCAAAACAAAAGCGTAAATCACTGAAGGGGGCGCAAACCATACTTGGAAAATTGCGGCCCGGCCCGGAATCGAAAATTTTTGAGTTTTTTTTGAGGGGCCTTGCGGGCCTCCGGCCTCGGCCCGTGCCTTGGAAATTGTCGCCTAGGCCGAAATTTCACAAGCATGCGCAAACCAATATTCTGTAAATAACTCTGCACCTTTAAGGCTCCATTCCTTCGAACAACCTGGCCTAAACTTACCGAAAAATTTGCCAATCCAATTTCCGTCTCATTTTCACCTGTACCTCTCAATCTCCACCCCGATTTCCCTCAAAACAACGGTTTCTCTCATTTCCGGTGGCAGAAACTATTCGGTGGAGATGAATTGCTTTTATCCCCCCTACCCCTTCAGGGGGCTGGCACAAACAAAGGGCGGATAGTAAACACCTCGCCTCTTCTATATTTCCCACTTCTCAAGTACCCCCCTTCTATTTCAATTCTTCTTCTTTTTGTCCCTCCGAATGACCACTCATGACTCACGGTGCATGCAATCGATACATTCATTTCTAGACAGGGGAAAGAGCATGAATTTTTCCATTGTGTTGAAGGAGACGCAGACAGTTAGACAGTAAAAAGTTGGTTTTCTTATCGGAAGTTGTGGCTTTTCATATACATATTGTTCATTATGAATCATAATTATTTTGAAATCGTCATATGCGCGCCCCCGGCGCTTTTGCAGCTCATCCTAAAAAGATTCCGCAGCGTGGCGACTCAGCGATACGTAGGCATTTTTCTCATTTTGTTGAAAAGTGCATACCGATAATTTAGGCCTAAGCTTTGGCAAAGAATTGGCGCGCCTCAGGCGCATTCGCAGCCGTCTGACAGACTGACAGGCGTACCTTATAGGTCGAAATTGATAGCGAGCATTTTCTGTGAGAGATAGGCAAAATATAAAGAGACGGAGCCAGTTAGACAGTAAAAAGTTGGTCTTCTTATCGGAGGTTGTTCTTATTCATGAATATTGTTTCATACATTTTTTCTAGTGTTTTCTTACTTTTTATGATAAAAAATCATGAATCATTATGAGTAATTATATCGAAATATGAACTTTTCCGGTGCATTTTAGAAACGGAAATGCGTCAAAAAATGTTGACCTGTTTCAGGTTTTCAGTACAGTTTTAAAGACATTATTGTCACCTAAGATTCCAAAACACATGAATTTTGCTTTAAATATTCCAAACCCCACATTTTCCATCCCTTTATTTCATTTCGTTTTCCGAATTTCTTCTTTACCTCTCTAAATATTTTTTCCGGAGACTTTGCTTTCATTCCTGATTTTTTTCAGATGAGAAATCCCAAAGACGAAGAGATGCCTCTTCGTGAGCGTGGTGCCAATGATGAGATCACCTTGGAGTTTTGTAATCAAAGATCCAGAATCAGAAGGAACAAGGCGGAGGACTCCACCACTTTTATGTTTAATTATTTGAGGTAAGATTAAGTTTTTT